TAGAGCGGCCATTCAGATGCCCGAGGTCGAAGTGGGCTGAAGAAAGATAGTTCGTCCATAGCCAGTAGTAGTAGAGCGGCCATAGCCAGTTGAAGGACATCCGTTAAAATTGGAACGATACAGAGAAGATTAGCATGGCCCCTGCGCAAGGATGACACACATAAATCGAGAAATGGTCCAAATTAAAAAAAAAAAAAAAGAAGTTGAGTTCAGTGTGTGTGTGTATTCGTGTACACCGAGAGTGTGTGTGCGCGTGGGATATCCAGGGAGATCCAGTGACTGTGCGTGTGAACAAGTTGTGAGGATACAGTGACGTGGGGGATGAAGTAAAGGCGCACAGTCGCCATAGTTATTTGAAGCGTGCTTGTATTTGAATTGTGTTCTTGCCTGTGATATCTCTGAGCTTTATGTGGGCGCCTGGTGCCAGAGTACTTTGCCATCTGTTTACATGCATACGAAGTAAGAAGAAAGTGAGTCTGATTGCAAGCATGGTCATTTAAGACAAAACAGAGGAAAAACACACTGGTATGGATTACCATCTGACTGTCACATGCTGGTCCCCATGAGTAACTGGAACCTTCTCAGCGGTGGACCCTGCACCAGCCAAGGGAAAACCTAAACGGCGGAGTGACACCAGGCAGTTAGCGGGAAAAAAGAAAACTTCAAAAAAGTTAAAAAACCATCTGACTGTCATTTGTGCAAAAACTGACTGTTGCAGATTGGTGGCTTTCCAGAGGATTTTGCGTATGCCTTGGAGGATTGGGAGCTCCTTTCTCGTGCAGTGCTCGCTGGATATGTGCTGAAGACAATACCTGATCCCCTCTACTGGCATGAACTCTCGTCCCTCACGTTTCCTCAACTGCTCGTCACAATTTATTTTGTTCACTTGTTCTCAATGTATTATTGTTTTCCAACTTTTATTTATAAAATATAATTTAGTAGAGTCAATGGTAGCACAAATCACTATCTGAGTGACCCTGAAGTGATTTCAGCCCCACTAGAGTGCTTACTAACCGACAATAGTGATGACGTCTGTAATGACCCGCCAAAACACAGACTGAGAACACTGCTGATTTCTGGGATTTGCCGCTGGAATGTATGCCTTGCTGAGATTCCCGCATTCTGCTGTGATTTCTAAGTCTGTGTGTGTGTGCGTGCCTGCTGGTCCGCGTGCCTGTCTGAGTGCTTGTCGGCATGAGTGTGTGTGTGACCCGCAAGGGTACTTGTTGGTTGAAAGGCCCCGCAGGGCCGGTACTTGTAGCCGTGACTTTGAGGGTTGCAGCGTGGGAAAACACTCAAGTAGCGGGGGTCGGCCCACGACAATTAGAACAGCGGGAAAAACACTCAAGTAGCAGGTACGCCAGTACCACTCAAGTAGTGGTAGGAGTGTCGGGTACTGGAGGCCGAGCAGAAGAAGACAAAGTTGGCATTTTTAGAGGCCCAGTAGCGGTAGGTTAGCGGTAGGCCTAGTGTAATAGTAGGAGGGCGTGGCGCGCCTTAGTGCTACTCCAGCGATGGAAACATGGGCGATGGAGAGGATGTGCACGTTCGCTTTGCGATTGCTCATGCTGCTGTGGATACGCGCGTCTGGGGGCGCATGTGGCCGCGGCTGGTGGGCACATTTGCGCAATGAGTGGGCGAGCGAGGCCAGCAGGGCGCCCGTGAGAACTTGCAGGATGTAGGGTTGGTGGAATGGGCGCCGGCATCCTCTACAGCCTGCTGCCATGGCTGGTGGCAGGAAGGGAGTTACCAGGGTCTCACATGACAGCTGCTAGCCCGTGAGTGAGCGTGTCACGTCGATACTAACATTGCATTGAGGTTTTCTGGTTCTGGAGCAGGTGCCGGCGCGTGGTGGGAAGGCTATTTTACAAACGCAATGAGGAGGATTCTGGAAGGCGGCAACGGGCTGGTTCCTCTACACTTGTTTCCCCGTGGCTTTTGAAAGCACTGGTGTGCCATCTCTCTGTTCCGTGCTCCATGCGAGTAATGCTGCAGGCTAGCATGTCGTACGGAGGGGAGTATTGCTTTTGTTGAGCTTTGCTTCAGGAGAGATCACTTCTACTCTTTGTCTTGCAAATTGTGGTGGAAGAGGTCGGCTAGCCGCAAGAAGAAGAAGAGTAGAGTGTGTCCCGTGGGGTGTGAGGATGATTGTTGGGAGGAAATGAGTGGGTGGTTATTGAGTGAAGTCCAAGATCTACTCAAGGGTTCATTACAAGAGCGAGGGATTCTACTCGAGGTTACAAGGCAGCTGATCGTCTTCCTGTTCGCTTTATCTACCGAGGATCATCATCACTGACAATAATCTTCATCATCACTGTCTTCACCATCTTCAACGACATGTGAGTAGGTATCTTTATCATCATCATCAGCAGCAGCAGCAATCAGCATCATCAATCATTGTCATTATCAGTTTTATACAAGGGTAAGTTTTGCCATTATTATTAGTGTCATCATCATCATTGTCATCTTCAGTGTCGGCATGAGGTGCGTGAATAGGGGTAAATTTAAGGTGGGGTGTCTCTCCTTCTATTCTAACTCTACTCTCCTTCGCCATACCTTTCATCTTATCATCTCGACTTTTTCCTCCTTTCCCTCCTCTCTCTCCTTCCATTCCTCTCTCCTGCACGCTGTTCTGGCTCGCTACGCTGCTTACTGGCTCGCTTTCCTGGTTTGCGGTGCTGCTCGCCGGATTCGCAGTGCGGCAGTGCTGGTCCAGCGGTACTACTACGTGTCGGCTTGCAGCGCGGTGAGCTGCCTTGTAGGGCTGCGTGCTTGCTTGCAGGGTCGTGTGCCGGCGTGTGCTGAGGGAGAAGGGGCAGGGTACAAAGGAGGGAGGGAGTAAGGGAGGGGGAAAGTTGGGGGCAAAGATTGGGGTACAGGGAGGTCGAGAGAATAAAGATAGAAGGGGAGGGGGGAGGAGGGGGGGGAAGGCTCACATACTCCTCATCTCAGTATCTGTTTTTTTAGTAATCTCTGAAATGCTATTCTCATCAAGATCGTCCTTATTTCTTTTCTCCTATTTCAACTTTTTTCTTGACTAAATTTACTACTTTAATCAATCATCATCAACCACAAATATTCTCACAAGTAACAATATAATTAAATATCTATAATAAATTCCTAATTATTTTTCTGAATATTCCTGATTCTTCGTAACTCTCAAGCTCTGGATCTTCACTATTAATTATCTTGGAGGGTATTATTTAATACTCTATTTTCTTACTATTGGATTATTGACTTTCTCCAGCTTATCTAGTATCTATATATCAGCTATTCTACCCTAATTCAAATGCCATAATCTAATCTGGTCTTCTAAGTTTCACAACCACTGTTCGTTCTTCCACTTCGTTATTTTCTCTATTTATAATCATTAGTTCTCATCTTTGCGCTTCTATGTTTTTTCTGATGATTGGAAGATAATGGTAGCAAGGGAGAGCTCCACTCTGCAAGGGCGACACAAGGTGGGGAGTGTCACCCTGGAGGGAGTGCAGGCAGAATTAGGGGTTGCCCTAGTCTGGGGTTGGGATGGGGATACTTATCACAGCTGGGGGAGATTAGGGTAAAGGGTGGGTAGAGGCATACTTTGGGAGGGAACTGTATGCCTTGAAGGGATAGGGGAGGGGATTAAGGGTCTGTCCCAAGTTGGGGCCGAGATGGGTTAACAATTTTGGTGGAGGCGGCTTTGGGATAGGTTGGTACGAATGGGGGAGGGAGGAGAGCCTCTTTTCCAATCTTCTGAGTAACAACGTTACGATTGTGATTGGGAGACAGACAACTGTCTTTAAAGATCCAGGACAGGAGTAACACATCATCATCATCATCAATATCATCATTATCATCATCGTCATCATCATCAAAAAAGGGGTTATGTCATGCTTATCGGGTCGACTTACATTCTAAGGCGACATCTGGTTTTCTTCTCATATCCAATGTAGGATTTTTACAGATGGTAGAGTCCTATCTGATGTCTTACCAAGCGTTGGTGTTTTGTGCTCTTGGTTTGTCGACGCCAGAATGACGCTGGCCGGTGCTGGGGTATAGCCCTGTGACCTGCGACAACAGGAGCTTGAGGCCTGGTAGAGAGACCTGGGGATTAGTCGAGGAAGGAAGACAATCCAGTGGTGAACCGGGGGGTGTTGCTGTGGCAACCTAAGGGGTCGGGTTTCGTCTAAGCAGTTGGAGTTTTGCATTTGGTAGAGGGGATAAGCTAGAAGTTGAGCATAGAGTGTGAGGCCAGGTTTTTCTCATTAAAAAAAAAAGAAAAAAAAAAGATAGTTTTCAATCATCTTATATCAAGCTTAAAAAAAAAAAGAAAAAAAAAAGATAGTTTTCAATCATCTTATATCAAGCTTGTTGGTGTTCTGTAATTCTTGGCAGCATCTGGCCTTCTTCCTCATTCGGGATATAGGATTTCCGAGATGGTCGAATCTGGACTGATATTTGCAGAGTTGCTTTGTTCTGTGCCCCTGGTTTGCCGATGCCAGAACGACTCTGGCTGGAGCTGGGGCATTGCCCTGTACCATGCGAATGGCAGGAGTGGGAGGTCTTGTAGAGAGATCTGGGCTTTTGCTGAGGGAGGAAGGCAATCCAGTGGCGAACTGGGGGGGGGCTGCCTTGGCAACCTATGGGTCCGAGAATAGTCTATGTGGCGAGAATAGGTCAGCTATGGTTGATGTTGGTTAGGATGGCATTGTCTCTGAGATGTAATGTCCTGGTACAGGGAGGGCTAGAAGTTGTTCTAGGATTAGGAGGCCAGAATTGTTGATACAGCATAATCTTCTATATTTTTTACATACTAGGCATCATCATCATTAGCATCATCATCATTAGTATGATTATCTCACATTTTACATAGAATCAGCAGAAGTTCTTCATCATCATTATCATTATCATCATATTAGGGACGCGGAGCCCGGTTCTCAACAAGTTTGATTCGGTCACTCCGGGTAGACCGTGAGGACCCCGGCCTCAATCTTCATATTGGTAATATCAGCCTTGGGCATTGGGCCCATTGTTAAAAAAAAAAAAAAAAAAAAAGGTTAGAGGTAGGCCTCTTTCAGATATGAAGATCAGCTGGGGGACAAAAACACAAGGTTGGTGGATACACCATCAAGGAGTAAGACCTCCAGAATATCCAAACATCAGCTCGCGGACAATTGAAACTCCAATTAGGGTGTTGGGGATATCACTAGCAGCAAAAGGTAAACCAACAGGGAACAATGAATGGATATCTAAACCAGCGCCAAACTCGAATTGTGGAAGGACAAACATACCTCTATTATAGGACGTTCGCTGGTTATAAACAATGTTATTCTAGTCTCACTCTGGTACAAGTCTGCAATATGGGCATTGGACAAGTCGACACTTAAACCTCTACAAAGACAAATAGCAGCCTACCTATGGAGAGGTAATCATGATTTCAAAAATGTTATAAGCAGAGTATCCTGGCAGGGAGTAATTCAACCTAAAGCAAAAGGAGGGTTAGGAATTTTAGATCCTTTCACTCAAACCATGACGCTCTCTATCCAATGGATCAAGCGACTACTTTTCAACCCAGAGACTCCTTGGATAGCTCTAGCTGGAGAACAAATCTCGAGATTAGCACCGAAAGTGGCAGAGGGGACGGACCCGTTAATATGGTTAGAGCATTGATACTGGGTCATCCCAAAAGGTAGAGCACAACCCTCAAGCCAGCCAACAAACACACAACGACAGGCCACAAGAATAGACATTAAAAATGACTCCTTTTGGCCAGATTTTCTCAAGACTTGGCGCAAACTACCACTACCAGGTAAAATCCTTCCAAACCGATGGAAAGAGGTCTGTCAACAACCCCTTTTCAATAACAGATGAATAATTGACTCACAGGGAAGAATGTTTCATTGCATGGATTCTCCATGGAGGGGATGAATTAAAAATGGGGTCCTAAGGATTGGGGACATCTGAAATTCAGAAACTCGAGATTGGTACTCCATTAATGATTTTTTGTCTAGATTGCGTTACTGCAAGAGGATAGCAACTAGATACAATCACTGAAGTTGTCCCGATAGAATGGATAAGGATCCTCGGAAAAGGTCCACAACTCAAAGAGAGTGATTGGGTAGGTATCCACGGTAGTCCTCAACAAATAGGAAATGTGGTTGTGGTGAACAACGATGGATCAGTTTTGCTTCCCATGTTCTCAATTAATCAGAAAAATTGGCTAAAGGAAAGTCATAATAAGGAAACCAAATGGAGCAACACTAACCAGGTATTCAGAATCAGAGTTTTGAAATATAAAGACCAATGGATTACTTTCAAACCATCACGCGCAATTAATAAATTGACATTAGATCCAATCTATTGGTCATTGACGGTCCCCCTGGGGAAACGCGGGAAGTGCACTCGAAATATCCACTCACTGACTGTCAGATCAACCTACCGGATTTTAAGGCCTAGATTGGACTTGAAGGATTGAGTAGAAACTAGGTGGATGGAACACTTGAATGTAAGCAAGGAAGATCTTAGATATGTCAAGTGGTTCAAAACTATCAAGATTATGCCAACAAAAATTGCATCTTTACAATGGCAAATTGACCATCGATGCCTTCCCACGAATAATTGGCTAATAGATAAGACTTTGTGGAAGAAAAGGGCATTGCTCTACCTTGGTGCAAGCTATGGTCCTCAATGTTCCCATCAAGGACCATTCCGGAAACCATCGAGCACATTTTCCTTCAATGTCCAAGTGCAGTCTGGTTATGGCGATGGTGGGATAGGATATGGAGGTCCTTTAATACCCCTTGGACTTGGTCGTGGGACTGGCGGGCTCTGTTATGTGAGACCTGGTCTCCGGATCAACTGGACGATTTCTCTCATAACCTATTCATAACAGGCAGAAGAGCCATCCTTTGGGCCCTCTGGCAATGTCGCTGTACTTTTAAAATGGAGGGAGTAAGGTTGGATGGCCCAGACTTGACAGAAACAATCAAGTTGCGGGTCCAGACTGTTATTACAGCTCAACGGGACAAAGCAAAAGAAAAAATTAAATTCCTGTCAAATAAAAAAGAAATTCAACAGCACATTCAATCATTCAGTGGTGCTTGGCTAGGGGGGCCTCAAGGAGGTAGGATGGGACAGATCAAAGAGAGTGGGGTCAGGAGAGAGAACAAAGAAAAGCAAGGAGACTAGCACCTGATATTCCATAATTGGTCAAACGTGGACTCAACAGTACCCCTTCGCCCCCTATCAGAGTTCCCAGATCCCTTCCCCCCCTCCTCATTGTCCCTGGTCCCCATGAGTTGGTATGGCTGCGCATGAAGAGGAAAATGTCTGGATAAACTGTAACCAGCTAGATGGAAATGTTTGATCTGGCGGCCATATAAGGCTGAAGAGGCTGATTACAGAAGGTATAGCAAGATGGGTAGGGAGGGTATTAGAGGGAATTCAGAATGACAGGAGAAAGAGTATGGAGAAGTTTCTAACTTCCAGCACATTCAAATACTTCTCATAATCTTTTTTTTTTTGTTTTTTTGGAAGAATCATTAGCTTTTATTACAAATGAAAGGAGGGCGGGAATTCTTCACAAACAACCCGGAAGATGTGACCAATAACCCTAAATGGGCTGTTGCTGGAAGATGGGTCTAGCGTCCCTTCCGTTCACCGGTCTATCCTCATCTTCCAAAATCCCTTGAAGCTCAAAGTAATTTCGTGTAGAAACAAGACACCATCCTACTTGGTGCTAAGGTTCAGTCTGTGGCTACTAGCAGATCATTGCAGTGTCACTCGTCAATATTAAAATATTGTCGAACTGTGCTCAGTTGCCTAAATCGGCAGTGTTACGTTCCACCAGGATCCAAGTAAACGGCTAAGCCTTTAAAAAACTAAAACTACCTATAGGCTCAATGACCAGGAGCTGGGCAAGAAGAATAAGTTGTAGGGTTACCCTCTCTCATCATCACATGTCCAAAACGCTGTAAAGAGCCTTTGTTGCCTAGACGGGTTTCCCACTACGCACCCAATGGATACAACTCTAGTTTGCTCTTCACCGGGTCTCTCATATCATCCAACCATTAGCATTCCTACTGCTCCTCCATGCTAACTACTCTTATAATGACTACAATTGACTAACGCTCCCACCACTGACGATGGC